AACTGAAATAGAGAGTACGGATATTAGCTTAACAGGCTTACTTAGAAAGTCGTGTCTACTTTGAACTTACTGCGTGAGAAAGTTATACTGGAACTACTAATAATGTAGGAATCTAGTCTCTCAGAGCTTACGAAGCACTCAAACGGGAAGACAGTTGTCTAAAAATAATTCGAATATGAAGGTGGGAATTTGCAGGTACTTTTCATCGTAAGGGTGATCATATTAGGTACCAGTTGACATCATACCGTAAACAAACACAAATTTGCGAGTGGTGAAATATGATCTATGAAAAAGTTAGCTTAGTAACAATTAATTACCTTTTTACTCCCTGATTATGACCCTTCGGGTTCCTTTAATGGCCAAAACTGCAAACATACACTACACACTGATAGAAGATTTTCGGCTTTTCAATGTTAAGCTTGCTTTAACGCACGATGTAATGAGTACAACCCCTTTAATACTGCTAAATGGCATATTTTTCATAAGAAACCCTCTGCAATAGAATGTTAGCATCTGTGACTTCATCTATGGTTATCGGAATTCTGGGTCCTTTCGAAAAAAATACTGATATCCCCTACTGCTGGGCACTCAGTAATTAGTTTGACTCGTTGGTGGGATAGTGTTGTCCATAGTACTGAAGAAAATTGGAAACTGGAGATTGTTTCCTTTCATTTCGCCGATAACATCATAAAGGACAGGAACGAACATGCGGACAGTTAGTCACAGGCGGCAGCAACAATTATTTTAGCTAAAAAACGAGCTTCGGCTTTGGATATCTAGAAAACAAGTCAAAACAAAACCCATAACCATTTTAAAACATAAGATGAGCCAGCTTGACTTAAGAAATACATTGACTTTAGTAGCAGCAGCCAAAACCCAGAAAACAAAGCAAAATGAGGGAAGATTTCGCTCTAACACTTAGAGTATTACATTAACTTTTGGATTGTAACACACTGAAACATTAAATTCTGTAGCTATACAAAAGTAATAGCGGAAAAAGCACAGAACGAAGAAAGCCGGCCACCATTACATACCAATATGGCGGATATAATAATTCCCGCTTCATTCTGATTGGTCGCTAAGCAGACTGTCACGTTTACGAAATTGAGTTGCGTTTAATAGCAGCCCTAGAAACGTTGTTGCGAAAACATGACGATTATACACACTCGATTTTGAATATCTCTGAATGAATAGACTCCAAAAGAGTGAATAAAATTGTAGACTGAACTTGAATGGTTTTTCAACCGTTATGTCGTCTTTCATTTGTGCCTGTAGTGATTAACAAATCTCCAGGTAAATAACTTTGTGAGTCTCCATTGTCGGTCCTGACATAATTGGTTCCACTGTATACACCACTAAATGAAAGTGGTCGACCGAGCACCTGATTCGGAACATATTTGAGTACAGCATGATTCTCAGCACGTATAAGAGCTAATCAGATTCAATATGGCTTCGACATATCGTCCGTTAACCAAACAAACCTACCCACAACTTCGTTTTCGATTATCGGTTTCATTTCCCTTGGACATTCGTATACGAAGAAGTTCCCGACAGTGATGAAATCGAACTCCGAGTATCCGAGACGTCTTTACCCTCGAATTTTTGGCCAAATTCAGTTTTTCCAAAATTAGAAAAGTCTGATCGAAATATGACATAGATATTTAAGAGTTGATGACGCTATTGTCCTCAACAACTTTGCAATAGAGCATCTCAAAAACAGCCAAGTCTGGAGTCAGGAATTAGTCATTTCGAAGATGTGTTTGGAAGATAGTCGATGGGTTGAGAAGTATATGAGCTTAGCTGACTAGTTGTTGTGTGGGGTATGAAACACAACGTACCCAATAGTGATTTGATGATGATGGTTGATCGCGTGATTTCAGCTATAATGTGTCGGGTAAACCTGATGGAGTCAGTATCGATGTTGAGTGCTCACAGAACTTTTTATTTCGGGTATTTATCTACTGTTACAATCTTAATAGCAAGAAGCTATGGTAGTTGTAGACTTATGTAATTGTAATTCGTAAATTTACTTGCTCTTTTGGGGCGTATTCATCCAAAGATATACAAAATCGATGCATCTTTATGTCGCTGAATGCCATTCATAGCTGTAGAACATTATCAATACAAAGTACTAGATTTAAATACATTGAGAGAATTTCTGACCGACTAGTGAACACTATGACAGCACATACAATGACTTGAACGGTTCAAAACGCTAAAATCAACAACGGCTACTTTGGACACACTAACGACTCGTCAACACTACATAAGCCCATCTAAAACGATTCTTCAACTTTATCGATTTTTAGACTCAATAATCTTCAAATATTTTCAGTACAACCAGTATAACTTTGAAAACGAACTCCGTTGATCGACTGACTAAAATAATTGTTCATTACATGAGGTACTGTTTCTTATTTATCTGGTGAACGATTTCGCTATATATGTCGGCTGTTCAAATACAACATACCGAGTTCAACTAACAGTCTGACGACACAATCATTCATGTGAATGAATATCTTATAAGTTGAAAACGACAATGATCTACAAATCCCAACACTGGAAGCGCTTCACACCATGTACTGCCCGAAAGTTTTCGATTCACTTATCTAACTGATATATTGCATTTGTCGTTTACCGTACTACAGAGACGTCATTTTCCTAATTGAACTTTTGACATGGACTTGTTATTTTTGTAACGACCGAAACTTTAGTATTTACTCTGAAGGTAGGACTAACGAACTAAAGTTTACCCCATTAGGCGTAGCGTACAAAACGTTGTGAATGACTCGTATCAAATAATATGAAAACACAAAAACTGCTCAATTCAAGCGTTCCTAATTTAGGAGGAAAAACAAGCTATATCAAAGTACAAAATATCTCAAATGGTACAGCTTATATTATAAACTCAGATGTTTCTCTGGCATACGATAACACGCTAAACATTAAAAAAATGGTTTATGAACAAGTGTTCCGTATCTGAAAATCAATAAGCGTATTGCTGAAGGCACTAACTCACATAACTATCTACACGGATTCGAGTGACCTGCTGAAGGTAACAAGTTATTATTAGAGTGTTTATCAGTGATGATTTCACTTGGCTTAAACTTCTGGCTGATCATCAATGCCCCACAAGATGTAGAGTGAGCTGTAATAGTAAGAAAATTCCCGAAACAAATAAGTTTGTAAATATTTTATGCCGATAGATACCGCGTGTTTTATCAATAAGAAAGAGACTAATTGTGAATAGGTACTTATTTAGATCGTGGAACAGAAAAGCTGGGGAACGATGTTGTCTTTTGGAAGCACAAAACGTTTATTAACACTTAATATAAAGTAATAGGAAAAATAATGCCTATACAAAATGAAGAAGTAAATGACTATTGAGCTATGATTTTGTGACATGACTGAGATGTATGTGATCAACCTTTAACCAATCAACTCAAGTCCCTTCATCAGCTTCCCTCTGTAATCAACTTCCTCAGGAATGAAGGTTCGATCTGCTTCCCGCAGCCTAAAGGTGTATAACTACCTCGTTCGATGTTCGACTGTCAATAAGTGATTGTCCAGTCAATACTCGAAGATACTCCACAGATGTCACCTACCTTACTATCTCCTTATCTTATCTCGTAGCACTAAGTTTTTTCCACAAATCGTTGCCCATAACTTGTAAAACGTGTCCTCTAAGTGAAGATCACAGCTTGTAAGAGAATGGAGGGTAGCAAAATGAAACAAGAATATCAGAGAAAATGCCACGGGTGGGCTACCCAACATCATTTTGGTGAGGTATGATTTCCTTGTGTTCTATCCGGCCATCAGGTGTTTACTCACCTACCTCTTAAGTATCTTTTGAGCCATAAACAAAGAACAATCTACTTCGAACAAAAAATAATTAGAGTTTGTCAAACCTGAGGAGCTGCTCTAGTGTTTGTATAAGAAAATCAGATACTAAAGGGAATGTACAATTTTAAGTGATAAATGTTCGGTTCTACATGAATGATTGGCTTACATAACTTGAAGTCATAGTTTGTAACAGCTCAGGTTGGTTGGGTAAGAGTTGACCCCAAACAACCAAGCTTATGCCAAAACAGTATTGTTCAAGTATTCATTCACTTCCTTATTTTTCATAAGCGTTATATTCCCTATTATCTTATATTGAATGTTGAGAGCCTTTGTTTGTCTGAACAGATAATCCCACGCTCCACTGCGACTGCGCTAAGATCGAAATAAAGACCTATTCACTACTTCTCTGGTTTCTTCTATCAATAGCACGAGGGTTACCTTAAGGCACGAAACTGGTGAGCCCTTTTTGAACACAAATTTAACCTCATTTCTGTTATTAACATTTTTTTTACTTAATCGTAAAAGTAGACCTGACTATCCGTAAACTAATTTGAGTATATAACTAGTTTATTCCGTATTATCTTAAGTTATTCGTGTTATAGTAACCACTTTTTGTGCTAACTTTATTGCTATATTTGTCACATACCTCATGTCAGACTCAATAGAAACCCATAATCTGGAGGATTTGTCACCAGTGGAGATAGACACTGTTATGACTACGAAATCCCGACTTCCAGAATTTGATCGTAGTGATCCTGAGTTGTGGTTTGCTCAACTAGAGCATTATTTCACGAGACACAATATCAAATCTGAAGGGATTCGCTATAGAGACTTGTGTTCTATCCTTCCTCCTTCAGTCGCCAAAGAAGTCCGTGACTTGATTTTAAGTCCACCATCACCACAACCATACACCATCTTAAGACGAGAGATAATGAACCGTTTATCATTATCAGATAGTCAAAGAATCCAAAGACTTTTTCAAGGTGAAACACTAGGTGATCGGTCGCCGTCACAGTTTTTACGTCACCTCCAAGTCTCAGTGGGTGATAACACAGTGGGTGAAGCAGTCCTAAAACAAGGATGGATACAAGCTCTCCCATGCTACGTCCAACACTGTTTGGATGCACAGGATCCTGAAACCTCATTATCTCATTTAGCGCGTATAGCCGACAGAATAATGGAAAGAGGTCCTCCAACTGGATCAGGCATAATAAATCACACACAAAAAGTAGAATCAGCAAAAGACCCCGTAATAGAAGGACTCATTGCGAGTGTTAAGAGTCTCACTGAGGCTGTCACCAGAATGCAAATGGGTCATAGAAACAGGAGCAGGTCACCACAACGACCACGATCTAAGTCACAAAACAGGTCACAAATGTCCAGACAATCTGGGCAGTTTTGTTGGTACCACTGGAAGTTTGGTGTCAACTCAACCAAGTGCACGCAACCATGCGCCTGGCCTAAGCATAATTCTAAGTCAGCGGGAAACGAGTAACCCCTCCCCAGGTCGCGACGACTGAGGAGGGGCGCCTAAACAGTCGCTTGTTTTATGTTAGAGACAGAAACTCGGGCTTGAATTTCTTGGTGGATACTGGCGCTGCTCTAAGCATCATCCCTCAAAATAAAACTGAGATTAGTCGAGAAACATCATCAATTACACTTCAAGCTGCAAATAAAACTAAAATTGCGACATTTGGGCAGAAAACTTTAACCCTAGATTTGGGGTTCAGGAGGCAATTCCCTTGGGTTTTCACGGTAGCCGACTTAGATCTGGCAATACTGGGGATGGACTTTCTAGAGAGATACGAATTTCTAGTTGACACCAAGAAACGGCGATTAACACTAAAAGAAACTTCGTATTACACAAAAGGCAAAGAAAGCCACATCAGCTCTCTTAACTTGATTCAAACCCCTCCAGTAACAACAGCGAAATTCCAAGATATACTCGCGGAATTTCCAAACTTAACTAGACCAAACCCACAGCCTTCCAAAGACAAACTAAAAGTGAGTCACACTATCAAAACCGAAGGTGCGCCGGTGTTTGCAAAACCCAGGAGACTAGCACCAGATAAGCTCAAAATCGCTAGGGCCGAGTTTGATTATATGCTACAATTGGGTATCATCCGTCCCTCTGATAGTCAATGGGCATCTCCTTTGCATATGGTCCCAAAGAAAAATGAAGGTGACTGGCGACCGTGCGGGGATTACAGAGCCCTAAACCGTCAAACCGTACCTGATAGGTACCCAATACCTCATATCCAAGATTTTACCAACGGTTTACAGGGTATGAACATATTCACTAAAATTGACTTAGTCAGGGCATATCACAATATCCCGGTGGCTGATGAAGATATTCCCAAGACAGCTATTACTACGCCCTTTGGCTTATTCGAGTTTGTACGCATGCCATTCGGCCTGAGAAACGCGGCACTTCCTCAGATATTCTTATTCCACATTCTCACACTCTTTCTCTTGAAAGCACGCAGTAAACCGTCAGCGATAGTTGTAGAATAGATCACATGCTACAAAATAAGATGACAAGCTAGTAAATGAGGAGACATCCATGGACTATCGTTGACAGCGTTAGTCGTCACTGATTGTAAGTCAAATAGAGAGCGAGTTGATAAATTTCCCTTGAGATGAGAAATAGAACTAAGGTGTTTTCGATGGATAGGTTAATCGAACCGACGTTCCTACGGAAGTCGATTCTAGGGGGAAGCTAATGTAACAGCTCAGGTTGGTTGGGTAAGAGTTGACCCCAAACAACCAAGCTTATGCCAAAACAGTATTGTTCAAGTATTCATTCACTTCCTTATTTTTCATAAGCGTTATATTCCCTATTATCTTATATTGAATGTTGAGAGCCTTTGTTTGTCTGAACAGATAATCCCACGCTCCACTGCGACTGCGCTAAGATCGAAATAAAGACCTATTCACTACTTCTCTGGTTTCTTCTATCAATAGCACGAGGGTTACCTTAAGGCACGAAAAGTTCACACAAAGCGCTATGCAAATAGACTTTATAACAACTATAAACTCAAAAAGTTGTATTGCATAAATACTTAACACTACCAGAATTCCGAAATAATTATACCGATATTGGATCTGGTGTGTAACGTATAAGCGATGGAACTTTGGAAAACATTTTAAAGGCTATGCTCGGTGTAATACTAAAGCATATCAAATCATTAACGCTCCAAGACATCTGTATGAATGCATTGTTATTCACTTTTATTGATTTTGTCTATTTGACGACCCTACTGCAAGCTAACTTATGTCTCAAGTTATAGATCGTGCCCGTAAAGATGGCGTGTACTTGCAGAAATATACTATTATATGTGTACGAAGTTTGTGGTAAGTATAAGCAGAATTTAACGTTTACGACCACGAAAAAACTAAGCAAAGCAGGAATAAATGACTGTCTCCGCCGATTTCGCACAGGTGGATACCCCTTGTTCTGGTGACAAAATAAACCAGACAAGTAACAAACATGTATTTATTTAGATCGCGGAACAGAACAGTTGGGGCACGAAGTTTTATTTTAAAAACACAAAACGCTGCCCAACATACAACATGAAATAAATGGACATATAATGCCTGTACTAAATATGGAAGTAAATGACTAATTGAGCTATAATATTTAGACATTACTGAGACAGTTATGGCCAAACTAAATTGTTACACGTCCTCAACATTGTTACTGACTCCATCAGGTTTACCCGACACATTATAGCTGAAATCACGCGATCAACCATCATCATCAAATCACTATTGGGTACGTTGTGTTTCATACCCCACACAACAACTAGTCAGCTAAGCTCATATACTTCTCAACCCATCGACTATCTTCCAAACACATCTTCGAAATGACTAATTCCTGACTCCAGACTTGGCTGTTTTTGAGATGCTTTATTGCAAAGTTGTTGAGGGCAATAGAGTTATTAAACCCTGAAAATCCGTGAAAACGTTATGCCCTTTAGTAGGCTAATAACTTAAGTTGATAAGCAAACGAGGAACTAAATAGCCCTAACACTTATAAAATGTGATCAGAAGTGCTGGTTGACAGTTACCGCTAATCCAAGGCTCCACATTTTTCAGACAGATTAGTACACTTATTACCTTAGTTGCCGAAGTTACCGGTGACCCGAGAATTTACTAGAATGATGATGGGCGACAGCAAAGAATTTAGTGAAGTTCGATGAATAACATTCATTACATTATAGTTATATGGTATACAACCACTTTTATTCATTATTAATGATTCGTTTTAATCCATCAAAGTGCATTTAGTTGTCATAGTAAAACTCGTAATCTTTCAAAACAATCAACTCGGGAAGATAGAAAACGACTGTCGATCTAGAATTATCTGTCAATAGGCTAGTTGCATCAATATTTTTAGTTAAACAGTTAGTTGGTAGTCGACTTAATTTATACGCATCTCATAGGGGAATTTACACCAACGCCTATTTCACCTAAATTGTCGTTTTTCACACTATATGAACAATGGATGAGGAAGTTGGATTTGAGAAGCTCAAACTTACAGGGGTGATAGGCTTTAATGGTTTGATTGTTTTCATTACCATGACTATCCGATGTTAAGGAAAAATTCAGAACGGTTTCCTGGTACACCCTGATGGACAACATGTTGTATTTTCTCTAGGAAGCAACGTTATTATTGAAAATATAAGTACAGGAGAGCAGTTCTTTTTGCAAGGACATACAAACATCGTCGTTTGCATGGACATTGACAAGTCAGGATCATTTATAGCCTCTGGTCAGGTTACATATATGGGATACAAAGTAAATGTTTTTATTTTCAACTAGATATGTTTTAAGGCAACAATTATTGTGTGGAGTTTTGAAAAAAGGGAAAAATATGCCGAATTCGTGCTTCACAAAGTGAAGGTTCAGGCCCTAAGCTTCTCACGAAATTCAAGTTATCTCGCAAGTCTTGGGGGGCAAGATGACGGAAGGTAATTCTTTTAGTATTTCTCACATTTACAGCGTCGTTATTTGGTCTGTGCCAAAAAAAGAAGCTGTTTGTGGAAGTCCGGCGCAGCCACAGAGTGCTGGAGTAACGTTGGCGCTAGCTTGCGCTAATATTTCTGAAAACACATTTATTACAGCTGGAGAGTATGTCACTCTGAATTTTGTAAACGTTTTTAAGAAACACGGTGCGAGTGTGGAGCTTAGATTTGGAAAATCGTAAAATCAGGCCAGCAGATTGTAACTTGGGTCAAGTTAAGCGAACTATTCACTGTCTGTCTGTATGTATAACGTTTTAATATTGATCTCTTTATAGGTTTCCCACAATGACGAAATATTTTTTGCAGGAACTACAACTGGCGATGTTTTGACGATTAGTATGAAGCATCACCTGTTACAAGTTATTGCACCTGAAAAAAACGGATTCAGTATGGGTGTAACCACACTTAAGATATTAGGGGAATCAATGTTACTTGTTGGATCAGGGGATGGAGTTGTGCAAGAATTTTGTTACACCGTTAGAAAAGAAGGAAAACGTTGCTTCCCAACATTGATCAAGACAAAGTGAGTGAATCTGCTGAGTTCACTTTTAGAAATGAAATGTCAGTCCTTATAACCAAAATTTATTGTACATTTTGACTCCAAATCTTCTACGATTCGCAATTCTAATTTATTACTTTCTGCATTAACAGACGAAATAAGGATTTGTTACAAGAATATACCCTCGAGCAAAACTATTCATATTTGGGACCGGTGTTCTAAGCCATCAAGTTGTAACCGGTTTACAATTTAGAAACAACAATAAAGCTCTCTTAAATTCAAGATAACAATATTGACCTAATCAGCTAAGAATAATTTAACCGGTTAAATTTGTGAAACAAAATACTTTTATTCCTTCAAGTTCCAAGATTGCAAATAACTATTTCAAGCTTGCGTTCTATCTGAAGTCTGGTAAAAACTAGTTTGCTAATACAATCGATTGTCAGGTCAACATATTTAATCAGTTTTATCACTGTTTCTAGAACCTCACTTGGTGTTTTTCTCGAAATTATTAGTATTCTGAATAGGATTTGACCTCAACAACCTGATTGACTCCTGAGTTATTGCATCATGCAACGTCTTAAAGGAATCGCACTCAAAATCCAGTATCAGTTTGCAGTTTTATTTCAGTAAGAAAAGTTTCATATTTGATTAGCTTCTGTATCTATCTACTCTATGTTAATCTTTGTTCATAGTTCGTATCCTGATAACGTCCTAAACCGTTAAGAATTGCTAGTGTATGATGCATATTGTGCAACGTTTTGCCAACAGTCAATGAAAAATCGGGTTTGCCATTTCACAACATACTCAACTTCAAGTTTTCTGTTTACGTGTAGTTAGGTCTGTAGTAGTGTATCTACCTAGCTTATTCTCCGGTGGAACATTTAATCTTGTTGTGACCTTTGCCTGATTAATTATCACATGATATAATTTCCAATCGGAGCACAGCTTATACAATCTTAGCACTGTACCAAACCAATGACTCGCTGGCCGGTACGAGCAGCCTAGAATCCTTATTGGTCCTTCTAATCTAGCCCTGCCTGTTCAGTCCAAAGAACATCAATATCAGCTTCAACTGTATGAATTATATATTTCAGACATGCCTGGTTGATATACAAACAAATCAGATCACATCATACCGTAAAATAGAAAATAAAAACTAAACAAGATCAAACCAGAAAGTGGCTGTGATTGTGAGAGAGTATAACTAATAACTTGGGAATAACTTAAGGATAGTAAATAGTATAATAGTAGTCATTAAGTCAAACGGAAGCTTATGACAAACGCAATATATATATATATATATATATATATATAATATAGTTACTTAATAATTATCCAATAAGAATATATATAATAATTGTCCATAAATAATTATTAAAAGTTAATATTCAATTATTCTGTGTTGGGATATAACAAATCATATACAAGCAAGTCGAATATAAGGGTCAAATGGTCTTACTTGTTTAACTAAAACTTAAGAGATTTCAATTCAGTGACCGATCAAATTATTATTTAGTAATCGTATACTTTATTTTATTGCATTGATTTAACGACTTCTCATGTCATGGTTTTCCATAAACTGATATTAGACTGGAAAGCTTGAATTCTGAATATAAATAGGAAGACCAAACAAGCATATTATAAATACACGCACATGAAATTAACTAACTCTTGTTATGCCCAGATAAGAATAATGAGTGGTAATTTTTGGGACCGCTCGTTTCTGGCTGTTTGCAGAATATACTTTTCCATTCCAAGCTTGGACTTAACCCTCTAGTTAGCAGGACTGGGAAGCATCAAATAGCTAGCTTACTGGTCTTTGGTCACTGAGCCTTTTTTCTCGTTCTCAGATTAAGTGAACTCGTGATAGCTTCAAACCTAGCAATTGTTGTGGTCACAAAACGCTTGTTAGGTATAAAACAATAATTTCAAATAGCAGTAAAGTAATCAGTTGCTATCAAAAGTCGGAAGTCAAAGTGAAATTGCAACAGAGAGATATTGGAAAGCACTTGTCTTTATTTTAAGATAAGTAAATAGTTCAAGAATAATAATAGTCAGTCAATATAAATATCCTACAAGACCGCTCAGGCTGTAACATATATAAATCTGCACGTGTTACCAATAAGAGAACTTTATATCACTAAGGCAATAATAAACCAGTGTTAATTTCTTGAAAGTTTCTTTCACGTACAAGAATCAAACCATACTATTTTAGCTGTTAATCGTAATTCAGTTTAATTCGAACTAACTGACTAAAACTCCTTGATGTTCATAATTTTAAGTACATTTTGATATCATATTAATTAGTAGTTAATGAAAATAAAAAAATAATAGAAGCTTTTTTCGCTCCCTTAAAGGATTCTATAATTAGGAATCATCAATAAAGTTTCTGATTATGTTGTCTTTAACCCTTAGAATGATATACAGTTGTTTTTTTTTAAAGGTTGAAAGCTTACCTGAACGTTTTGAAAACAATTAGTCTTTATTCTGCTATATTTCCAAGAAGAACAGATTTCTGTACTGTATTGCAACTCGTGTGATATTCGTCATGTCATAATATTTTCACTTAAGATTATCAGTGTGAACTTTGAACAAACATGTTAGTGTTTTAGATGTTCGGTTACAAAATCTGTATATTTTATTATAGTAAAATGAAAGAGCTTCTGGGAAAAGTCACAGCTATTAGTCTTCGTGGAGAAGGACACCAGTTCTTTGTTACAACTGATAAATGTCATCTTTACCGGTTTAATTATTCAGATTTCAGCCATGAACTTGTTAAAACATGCCATAATGCTGCGGTCAACGACATTAAATTCCCATAGTAAGTGAAAACATTATATTAATATTTTTAATAACAACAATATTGTAAAGTTAGGATTTTGTGTTGATTGTTATTGAAAGGCGCAAATTTACATAGAAATATTCGAAATTAGCGGTCATAACAAAGAACTGCTACTTATTGTTACACTAAAGGATACAATTTAAACGGAATACGGTATATAGATTCAGTAAATGGGCATCAACTATTTCAATGTTATGTTTTAAACCACCCTATGGTAAGTTCAGTCAGTCATCTACAACGTAGGAGCAGACACATATATTAATCGGTCCAAGTTGCCATAACTCTTTAGCACAACATGAGCACCAAATTCATAGAAGCAGTTACTTCAGTGGCAGTGATATGAATAAAGGTTGTATATATGGACCCCAACCAAGTAGTCTGCATCTACCAACATGGCTAAGACTAGAAGTTAGTGACTTCAAGCACTGATGTTACGTTTTGGTTTGGCCGCCCCTAACTTCCAACCATTCCCAACACTAGTCAGCATTGCGCATCGTGGAAGTCGGTGTTCAGGCACACGTAACACGTGTGAAAATTCATATTTTATGATGTAATCAAATAAAAGTGACCAAAAAGTGACTTAATTTTAGAATAATTTGATCAACGACCACTATAAAAAGTGTGAATAAGCTCATCCTACTTATTAACCCGTATAATCACTCGGCTAGTCATCAATAGCTTGAGACTAGGAATAGATGTGGATCAAGCGAAGTTGCCAAATCTCATTAGTACATAAAAAATCAATATGATCGACAGTGAAGTAGAAATATAACGGTAACAGTAGAAAAAATCAATATTATTTAAACAGAGTGATTGAAATGTAAGAATCAGTGACATGAAATTATGAATAAACTCAAAATCTAAAGGGGGGCAAATAATGAATACGTTTAGATAGCTGCGAAAGTTTTTGATCTGTATCACACAACGACTTCACTGCTGTACCCAGTTTTGAAGCACGTACCTAGAACCCGATGGTTGAAAGTCAATGTGATTTAGTTACCAACTGAAGAATACAATTTGAAAATATCATAGATTTAAATATATTCTAGTTATCATATGTTAGTTCATTATCTTTTACAGCTTTTGTGATTGATAAGATTATATTGGAGAAAAAAACATAAAGTATGAGGTTTGGTATTGGTATTAAGTTCAATAAACGTGTTTTGTAAGTAAAATAACTGTACTAACAACCTAAATAATAAATTCAACCAAATAACTTAAAGCTGACCTAAGTAAGAGTTATATTGTAGACGAATAAATAGTGAGAAAAACAATTGATTTAAATCTTCTAATGAATTAGTTACGCTGGGCAATGGGTAACTGTGGAGTACATGACGAGTGCTTTGTTTTATTTACGATTCATCAGCTGAATATACCTGGATCCTAGTGTTGTTGTTGATATTGGGACTCAGACCTACTACCTTTAGTTTTATACAATGAAAAAACTCGAACGGTTGCTAATTATGGCATAAAAATAATACCCTTCCAATATGTTAGTAGCTGTTTGAACTCAGTATACCAGTAGATAACTCAATGGTGTTTGAAACAAGAGGTACTGGGTTCAAGTCTCAATACGAACATTTACACTGCTATGGCAAAAAATCTGGCTGACGAGTTCCAAATAGAACGGAATTTTCAGTCTGGATTTCATTGCAAATCACAATTCAATTCTACCAAAAACTTGTATCTAGGTGATCCGCTCAGAATGCACATTTATCCATACTGATAAAATACAGGATTTGGTATCGGCATAGGGAAAACTTAAACAATTACTAGCAATAGTATTTTAATGATTTATTTTAAACGTGTATTAATTAATGACCAAATGTTTTTTTTATTTTGTTAGTAAATGCTCTGATTTGTTTGTAACATGTGCCTACCAAGATATTCGTGTTTTTAATAAAATAAATCAACATGAACTGTTACGCATCAATATACCAAATATGACGTGTTATTGTATAGACATATTACGTGATGGAGCAGCTATTATATCAGGTAACGGAAACTGTTCGTTAACATAGTTTTATTGAAACTGACAGTAAGTTTCATGAAACCTGAACACTTCAGATAATTTTATTACAGCGACCAACATATTGAATTTTCATTTTCATAGTATGCTTATTTGTAATAATTGGTAGTTCACATAATTCATGAGACGAAAATGGTATTATTAATGTGATCACTAGTGACTCATTTCAGGAAGTAGATCTGAAATTCTAATGAAATTCATGACCAGTGGAGCGCAATTGCACCAAGTTTGAGACAGTAAACCACTGAACAGATGGAGATAAAACTGAGAATCTATTAAAGTTAGACATATGCATTGTTGGATTTCGGTTCTGCTGCCTATCGGTTAAACGCTCGTGTGCAAAACCGAAGGTCAAGAGCTAGGTTCCAATTAATAATGGGTATTTACTGTTGAGGAGTTAAGTACTAAGAACGAAAATCTGTTTGATATTTCTTAATTTTCAGTGGATGTCCAACATAAGTCGATCAGTGATAGCAAAAACACCCAATAATGTATATTAGACTCTGTACTGATAATATTATTAATAATAATAGATATCAGAAAGCTGAAGTTAAATTAATGAGAGGTGAAACATCATACTGAATGGACACAAATTAGAAATGAAATTTGAATGGAATGGACAATGGGAGTGTTATTGTGATAAAATTACTGATAACGTTATAAAGTTGGAATCATACACTCACTCGGAGACGCAGGTGAAATTATCTAAACCTTTAATTCAAGAATCTGTCAAGAGAAAGCAATTTCAATAAAATTCATAAGAGCGTGGTACAAATATTTCTGACACTTGTTTGACAATATTAGAACTGGAAGTCCTAACCTTAGCTACCAAACTTCATATCTCATATAGAAGACTGAACCGAATAGACCTAGAATGTTAGTGTAAAGTGTGTATAGTCAGTTGTCTAGAGAGACAAAGAAGATTGGTTTAAAATCACGCTTGTGGACCTAGCGAGTCAAAATCCTATCATACCAACAGTTTCTTTATGTTCTTAACTGAACGATCATAGAAAAGCCATATATGATCAAATAGTTTTGTTAAGACCTGAAAAAAGATCCAGTCTTTCTGTTTTTAGTAAACAAGAATGAATTTCAAAAATGTATATCAGTACTTAGATGGAAGATTTACAGCATACAAAATGAAATGAATTCACATCTTACAATATTTATTCTTGATTTACAAAAGTATCATAATGAGACAAATTGAATAAAACATAGTTCATTATTTAGCTACTTATTAGTAGCAAAATTATGAGAGTCACGTAAATCCCTATGTTAACCGAACTGGTAAACGTAAAATAAAACCATATAAGAAACTAAAGGAGAGATAAGATCGTGTATGTTCGTACTGTCAATTGAACCACAAATATTAAAAATTTATTCTATATCAAATAGCAGATTTTATAATTGGTCTAATATGTGTAAAACTGCAAAGGGAACATCATTTATATGAGTCATTTAATATTTATCTGAAAGAGTTTAGAATAATGCCCTTAAATTATAGCATATATTAATCATTCAACCTGGATAAATTCATTTGGGAATGATAAAATTTAGTCACATTTATTATCAGTTGAATATAGTAGATTGTATTAGGAAATATCTTTTGATACTGATGTTTTATCTGAAGTTGATTTGAGTTGTAGAAAGTTGCAACTTCCCGGTAAAAGTTTACTGAACAAATAGTTTCAAAATAAGTATTAAATGACTTTTATTCACAACTGATTTTTTTACG